AAAAAATACAATAATAAAAAAGAAATATAATATTCTATAAAATTCTCCCAAGACAGGAATCAAACCCCCGTCCTCTGAGTGTGACGAAGTTTAAACTCTCAAGCGATGTAGCACCTCACCTCTGCACCACAGGCACCAGTAATCATAACTTATTGACTGTCCTTATGTTTGTTCCGCGCAATTTAGCGATCGGCGCATTTTTAAGAATGCGCTACGCGTTTTACGATCATATAGTTGCGCGGAAATCAGAAGACAGTGTTAATAATCTAATTATCTATTTGTGGTGGCCGAATTTTGCTATTCAAAAGGCTTTTTAATGGCTGCATCGATCGACATGCGGTTTTCGCCAAAAGATTCTTTAAAATATTCTCCAGATCATGACGCCCTTGGTTTTTTTCAGTTTTGGGACAGTTTTACTGCAAAAACCGAAATTTCCTGATTTCGCCGATCGCTTTTTTGTAGGCCGACGCTTCTGTCTCTGTAATTTTAGAAAATCCGAAAGTGATATTTTGCGAGGCGCATTTCGTTTTGAGAGTATAGATCTAGACCTTCTCATTTTTTGCATCTCTCAAGATATAATTATTTCCCCATTCCAGTAGAGTGTGAATATAGTAGCCATAGACTTTTAGTCGATGTTAAAGCACCGATCATTCTTTTCATCGAAAGGGGGCCCAGCTAGTTATTTTATATTTTTGAAGAGCTCACAAGAATGATACAATGCCAGGTATCAAACTCAAACTTCACAAAGTACAATTATTAATATTTATTTCGTATTTTAGAGATAACTGTAATAATTTTTTTTTTTACAAATTCCCTTCCATCTTTATTTTTTTACTCACATCAAAGAACATTCAAATATTTTCAAAAGTGTAAAAATATGAAAACTAAAATTAAAATAAACGTATGAAACTGAAGACTTCACAAAAATGATACAATGCCAGGTATCAAACTCAAAGCTGACGAAGTACATTTAATTTATTTTACATTTTTTACATTATTTTTAAAAATTCCTTTATATCTTTATTCTTTTATTCAGATCAAAGAACATCCACGTATATTTTCAAAAGTGTAGAAATATGAAAATTAAAATTAACATTAAGATATGAAACTGAAGAGCTCACAAGAATGATACAATAACACGATCGTTAAAACGCACAGCTTAAGAATGGCCCAATCGGTAATTGCGCGGAACACATTCATTAAAAAGTCACAAGTTTCTGAGGCCATGATTTCATTCTTCTCTCTGACCCTTGGGGTCTAAGTGCCAGGTACGGTAGTCTGCTCATTTCTTGGTTGGATTAGAGTTAAGTAAGGTCTAGGATTATAATAGTCTGTCATAGACGAACAAACACACACACGCATAAACACACACACAAACACTTATAAGGCATACATACATACATACATACATACATACATACATACATACATACATACATACAT